AATGTGTGAACTTGGAAAAACTTTGACACAATTAGTGAAGAACCACAACGAAAATAGCAGCAGCAAGATAGAAAATTGCAGCAGAAGATTAGAGAACTAAACACAATTTAAATACGTGAAACTCGATTCACCTTGTTGTATCAAAAATTTCAGATTTTTCCTATTTTACACGTACAGAGAGACACCGCATATTCCGAGAGAACTAACGCTTGAATTGAGTTCAAAACATTTAAGTAAAAACACCGTAAATGTTTTTAAGCTCGCTCAATTAGCGCCTCTAGCTTCTTCAATAAACAGTCTATACTGTTATATTTTAGTAATCATGAGTCTTCTGGTGCGAAAGTTATGTAATTCTATTGAACCATCAATTATGGTATTGCCATTTTGCTAAAGCGGAACCTCAAATTACCGTTAGCCAACATATCGACCACATGCAACAACTTCTCATTAGAAACATTCCCCTTCATTTATCGAATTTCCTTTGTCATACATTCATTGTGTGAATGTAACAATTGATAAGGCTCGAGGTAACAAACGGATTTAGCGAAAATTTGCAAAACACCCTCTAATTAGAACTCGATCTGCTTGGATGGTGCTCTTATATTTGTCGTAAACACGTTGAGGTAAGTTTGAGTGAGCGTGAACATGATAATTTTATTGATTTCATAGCTGCCTAATTATCAATACATAAAAAAATACATTGGGGAAGCCAACAATCAACCTTGAAACATTTTTATTATTTAATGCTGGTTTTTATAAAACTAAATTGTCTGACATTGAAACAAAAATTTGAATAAAAATTTCCGGTTAACACGGAAGCTTTTGCATGATAAACATTCTCCAAAATTTAGGATTCTGATCTGGATCTGGAAAATCGGGATTCAAATCAATAGTTCCAAGTCAGTTAAAAAGCGCAGTTAAATAATGTAACCTAATAACGCAAAACGTAACGTAGTTGAATAAAAATGTTAAATAACGTAGCCCTTTAAAACGACCGTTAAATGGTCGAGAAAAGAAAAAAAAGTCGAGATTATTTAGATCGGCAGATAGTGTTTCGGGATAGTAGGTGTCGAAGCTTCTGGGAAACGAAGCCCCTGAGAGATTTTTTAAAATTATAATTTGTTCCATCAAAGCTTCCGGCTCATCAAAAATAAGTAAACAGTTTTCAATAAATAACACCAGTTTCAAAGCAACACAATGCATTGATGTATTTGTACTGTCTGCCAACTATCTCAAATATATCAGTTTTATTTACTCGATTATTCTAAGTTGAAACTCGTGGAAATATTTACAAATGAAGGAGAGTTTTGCAATATATTATCCGAATCCCTATTCAATATCTATACAATTCAATGCATCACTTTTTAATAAAAAAACCAAAAAGGAAAATGTGCAACTTCAGAAGTTTATTGTCTGTTAACAAAGAAAAGCAATACATAAGCGTACACATAATGTTCGTTCGAAAGTTGCAACATTATTGTTTTCTCAGTTCCAGCAGAAACTTTCACAGAAAAGTTTTATCCGAAAATATGTTTGTGAGTCGAGCACTTATGTTTGTGTTTCCTATTCCTGGTAAAAGTATTTTATTGACCCCTTATATTCTGGTTTTACTAAAATTTCATCTCGGTAATGTTTGCGATTCTACCGTTATCACTGTGCAATACATTATACTAAAAATGATGGAATTTTTACGGATAAACTCTAGCACGATCTAAATGGAAGCGATAGATAATGCTTTCAAGATGCATGTCACTTAGGACACTTTCTCTAACATCGCCTGTTTAAGCCCAGCTGAAACGAAACTTTGAGCAGTTTTAGTTTAAAGTTTGCGCTGAAAGCGGCTCTTTTTGAACTTGGGCCAGTATTAATAAAGTTAAATGGCCTGTGAAAAATAAATTCGCCATTCTAATTGGCTGATCGTCTAAGCGATTTTAAAATAATTTCAGTAAAACGCCCAATTTAACAGCAAAGACGTTCATAAAATATTAATTGAACTCGATTCGTGAACGGTTTATATTCAACAATGCACGTTGCCGTTCGATACTAGATATTTCGTGATATGTGAAGTGAATTTTAAATAAATGTTTTAACTTATTGATTGTTTCTCTTTCAACTTCCTTGACATCATTGCATTTATCAAGTGACCCCGTTCACAAAAAAACATAATTGTTTTATGGTTGAAATGGAATCGTAAGTTTGAATTGCCATGAAAATTTACATAAAATGTGGCTGCTCAGGCTAATTAATTTCAAATAGCCATTTAAGAAAAACTGTAATTGGTAACACCCTCGTAAACTCTAACCATCTTCAGTCACATATTATTACGGTTTTATCAAACTTAATAGCTGAATAAGTTCAACTTAATAACTTGTGGTGAGATCAATGTGGAAGGAAAAGATGAAGTGCAATTTTACTGAACTATTTCTCAGCATTAAGCGGTATATTGATAAACAAAAAATGTCCGAATGAACAAGAAACATTTCCGCTTTTAAGTTTGAAATTTGGGACTTGAAACGGAAATCAAGTTAAAGTACATTTGCGAGGCAAAAAAATGTGTTGTGACTATATTTTGGTTATTACTGCAGGGCATCTCATATCAGTAACAATACATGCCTCATACGCAAAATTAAAAACCGCTTCTATACATAAAGCATTATCTTTTCATCTGTGTAAATACCCCGAAAACGCAACGTTTTACGCTATGAAAACAATGTTGTTGTACTCGAAAAAATATACCGTTTCTCTGTCCGCTTTCAAACACAGTTTTGTCTGCGAGGCTCTAAAGGGCTCTTTGAATACTAAATTATGAAAACCGGTTTGTTAACAGCATAAATGCTGCCATCCAGGTGTGCTGACGAATGTACGTTCAGAAGATCAGACTTTTATTGGGTATATAGAATTTTTTAAGCAATGCGACAATTTTATATGCTCCTTCCTATTATCTGAAATTATTTTTCAGTGTTACTTTGACTTGGAAAGCTCTGTGGCACCGAAAATCATTTAACTGATAAATGCATGAATACGAAAATAGTTTAACAGTATATTTGAGTAAAATAATATAATTCTAGAGCTAATTCAATTTAAAAAGTAATTGGGACCTTCCTGAAAAGGTTTTTTTAAAACTGGTCAAAAATAGAACCATTTCTAATATTTGAAGAGTTCCAGAATTTGCCACTTTTGTGAAATTATAATTTATTCATTGCAATAATTTTTTTTCATTAGTTAGATATGTAGAATGTAATGTAAACGTAAGTAAGTAAGTAAGTTAGTAGTAACTCTCAATTTTCAGCCGGAGTCATCGTTAACCACGAAAACGTCCATGCTGTTAAATTTCACAACGTACCATTAGGACAATATTTAGAAAAAATATTACGACCAAATCTTACTTCAAATTTGGACAGTTTTCAGTGCCTATTTACTGATACTCATTCTGCTACAACGGGTGTGGGTAAAGGAAAAAAATCAGTTTGGAATATTTTCATAAAATACTATGTTAATTACTTTATTAACCATCCTACAAAATATAAAATGTCGGCAGCTAACGAATGTTATTGCTAAAAATTCAAAATAATTCAATTACTATTTTTACAAAACTTTAATAATTAATAATGCTTATGAAATGAAAAATTACAACAATAGTCATCATTAAACTGAGCCAAAACAAATTAATACGATTAAATTTTATTTATTTCAATTAATGCACCAAAAACCAATATTTCATGAATATTATACTGATTTTGATTTACAACCGGTGTCGAAGGTATATTGATTGTAGGCCAATTTAAAAGTAATTTTTTCAACATTTTTTCCTAAAAATTTTATAATTAGCCATAATATGCACATTGAAAGCTCATTACAAATGGTTATTTAAATACCTACATTATAGAAAAAGAATTATTAAAGTTGATGCTAAAATTAAGATTTTTCAAGGTGGCAAATTTTGCAGACGTTCATTAACGATTTAGATTTCTTAGGTGGTCTAGTAAGGCGCACAGCGGCACGACTACAGACGTTTCCCGAATATTAATTTAAAAAAGCATAGTTCAATTTTTGTTCCAACCCCTTAAAGAAACTCTCAATTCTTCGTTTATTTGTGCAATTGGTCAAGTTTGCTATTTGGAAATTTGTCTTACATTTTATTTAGTGTGAGTGGTTTAGCTCAGTGATTTCGCTAAACACAACAGATTGCATATTTTCCTGCAGACACTTTTGAAGATTTATTTGTGTATGAAAATGGTAGACAATGTCAATGCTTAATGGTTGATTGGGATTACGTTCCGTTTCTTCCTTCATTGCTTTACAAAGCAATTTTTATCACAAACTTTCTTTCGGTAGTAAGCAAATAAGAACTGACGTAGCTAAGAGACAAACTTTCCGATATTTTGGTACGTTTGCACCCTATCTGTGTTAATTTTTAATGATTTTGGTAAACAGGAAGCCAGCAAATTCTAGAAATGATTTCCTGTCATATGATCCAAATCGCCTTATCGGAAACTCCATTTTAAGAGAGTCTTATCGGAAACTGCTCTTTCGCGTTGGCTTTCAATATATTACCAATTCGAAGATAAATCAAATGGAAAGAAAAATATCATTTGACACCCCAAATATTTCAAATTAATAGACCCTTTTTAAATCAAAGTGCAGTTGACATAAAAGTTAAAAAGAAACCTGAGTTAACAAAAAACCATTTTTGGATAAGACAAATGCAGTCAAATAGATATCAAATCCCGTCTGGAATTTGTTGTCTTCATTTGTCGAGCTTGTTTCTAAACACCCTGTATAAAAAGAAATTCAAAACTGACCCTCAATGGTAATTGTGAAGAAGTAATTTATTTTGGTTCTCAAAAGAATATTACTTTATTTTTCTATTTTATCACAGTGAAACAAAGCATGCTGTAAGAACCGGTAATCATTCTTCATCAACTTTGCGAGCCGGATGTTGTCACCAGATGAATCTGTCACCTGTCATTATCAAGACTAACTGTTTGTTTCTCTTACAGTGCCACCTACGAAAGTTGTAATTTCCAATGAAGAAACTGAAACGCTGTTATCGTCTGTAGTCGGCCCTTTTCCAGAAGGGGCGTCGTTTACACTAAGATGCGACGTATACGGAGGTAAGATTGAAAAAATAGATTAATTATCTGTTAACAGAATTGGGGAATTTATATCCAAAGAGCGAATTAACATTATTTGAAGTTGGCGAAAGGTATTTGATTAATTGCTACAGTTTCATGTATTTGTCTTCCTTGCTCTTAAGCTCTGCATTCGGGTACGCCTCAAAGAAACCGCCAGAGGAAAAATGAGATGAAAAGTGTAACCGAAAGGTGGTAACGTTTTTAGAAATAGGTACCAATAATACACTTTGAAATTTTCGAACTTAGCGTTGCTTTACGTTTGTACATTATTTTAATTACCTGATTTTTATGTCTCGCATTCCCAAATATGGTCAGATTTTTCATAAACATCACGCAATCCTCAAATATTCCAGCGCTCATCATTTAAATTTTGGCAAGTACTTTTTTTTAACTGAAGAACAAAATGCTATCAACAGTCAAAAACTCTCAAAAATGTTTTTATTAACTCAAGTTAGCTGATATTTTTTCCATTATTTTAGCTACTGGGTACTTTTAATTACAGAGTTAAATTTTCGGAAAATCTCTACTTATCTGGTGGATACACAATTATTTCGAAGTATTAGCTTAATGACCCGCTTGGAACCGTATAATATATGTAGAGGGATATAAAATACACTTTCATGCGCCTTTAATGTAATTA